GTGTAATTATGTTTAATCTCAAAGTAAATTAATCTATAGCTTCCATATTAGCAACCTAGTAGGTATATTTAAATTTATTATAAAAATTGTTTTTGATATTTGTGGCAAATTTATTTGTTAATATAAAATGTTGAAAATAGGGGTGTGCCACAACTCTTATTTTCAATTTAGATTGGCCACTTTCATTTCTTTGCTAAGTAGTACACATATTAATTGTGGCTACATCAATTTTATATAGTTTCGATGTAGTTTTATTTAAAAAATACGATTTTCGCTATCTTGAAAGTGTATTAAAGAATGCACTTACTACAATTTTCACACAATGAATTTTGACGTGACGATAAGGTTATCTATGTACCTTCATTATCGTGGAGAGTTTGAAAGAATCCATTATTTTTAGCACACACGCTAGTTTGAGTCACATACTCCTTTTGTGTTGCGAAGATTTTACTTGTGCGATAAACCACTATTGTTAAAAAGATACCTTTCTATTTTTTATTTTTTTTGATATTATTTCAACGTGTAAGAAACTTTCTCAAGATTCCATTTTGTAAGTAAAATAATGGTTATAATATTTAAAATTATAATAAAAAAAAAAATTACTTCTTTATTATGTATTAATATTTTAAAAATTATATATCACCCTGTATAAGCGAAACGAATGCACTGAAAAAAGAAAGTATGAGGAGAAATTACGTGTGATTTTTTTATAACAAAACCTTACTTAGATTTTGTTAGAAACATTATTCTCCTAAGTCAGTAAATTGAAGAATAATTTTCAACGTGGCCGAATTAATAGTACCAGATTACAGTACCATTCCATGAGTTATAATTATATTTCCATTCCATTACATATATTAATTACCATATTAAATCAGTATTAATTGATTTTTTTTGACAATATTTCAGAAAAATTATAATCGGAAATATTCGTAGTCTGTGTAGTTAACTTTTCGTTTTTGAAAGAGACAGAACTTTTTATAGTAAAGCAATCCAACAATTTTTTTTCTTCTCGATTAACTGTTCTTGCAAGTAGAAATTTGCGCAGAAAAAATACAATACCGTTATAAGAATACGATTTCTGGGAGATTAAGCAGATTGCTGTCAAATTTAGCTAGTTCTTTAATGTTCAGTTGAGAAATTTGTACTGGAAATGGTAGAAGCTGAAGTTACAGATTTGAAGTTGTTGGGTTGACTTGTTGGTAATAGTTCGACCATTGGAGCTACATTAAATGAAAATCGAATGTTAATTCAAGTTAACCTTTTGCTGCCGCTGAACGGACCGGTAAGAGTCGCGAGCTACGTTGCCGTTGTTATTTCGTTTTCCTAGACTCCACAGAACACAAGAACTACAATAAATTCTACAAATCTTAATCCTACAGATATATAATTCTGTTTCTGTTGCTATTAGATTAGTAGATAATTAAAGCCAGCTTTAATTTCTTGTATTTTACATTACTTGAGCAAACGACTGCGTGCATTTTTGCTCCAGTAATTGAGAATGGGGATAAGCTTCTTCTGAGAACAAGATCAAACGATATAACTCTTTCTGTTATCGTAGAGACTATTAAAGCCTTTCATTTCCTGTATTTTGCATTATTTGAGCAAAAGACTGCATGAAATTTGGCCCCAATTACTGAGGATGGGGCTAAGTTTCTTCTGAGAATAAGAGGAAGCCAACTTAGGACCATTATAGAAGTCTCTGGACTCTCGAACATATATATATATATAATTCTGTTTCTGTAATTGTAGAGATGAAGCGTTTTTAGGACCATTATAGGAGTCTCTGGACGTTGGAACATACATATAATTCTGTCTCTGTTATTGTGGATACTATTACAGCCTCTTATTTCCTATATTTTGCATTATACGAGGTAAAGACTGTGCATTTTTATTTCAGTGATTAAGAATGGGACTAAGCTTCTTCTGAGCATAAGATAAAGCGTTCTTGGGACCATTATAGGAGTCTCTGAACGTTGGAACATACATATAACTCTGTCTCTGTTATTGTAGATACTATTACAGCCTCTTATTTCCTATATTTTGCATTATACGAGGTAAATACTGTGTGCATTTTTATTCCATTGATTAAGAATCGGTCTAAGCTTCTTCTGAGAATAAGATGAAGCGTTCTTGGGACGATTATAGGAGTCTCTGGACGTTGGAACATACATACACACTGTCTCTGTTATTGTAGATAATATTACAGCCTCTTATTTCCCATATTTTGCATTTTTCGAGGTAAAGACTGTGTGCATTTTTATTTCAGTGATTAAGAATGGGACTAAGCTTCTTCTGAGCATAAGATAAAGCGTTCTTGGGACCATTATAGGAGTCTCTGGACGTTGGAACATACATATAACTCTGTCTCTGTTATTGTAGATACTATTACAGCCTCTTATTTTCTGTATTTTACATTATACTTGAACAAAATACTACATGTAAGGGTTAAGTTTGGTGTAAGAATAAGATGAAGCGTTTTTGGGATCATATAGTAGTCTCAGGATACTGGTAGTTTAGTATCATGTACAAAATAAGACTATTTGAGGAGATTTGGATGTATTTTGTATTGACCACGATGACTTGACAATATGTTTAGCTTAAATAGGACCCCTGGCCACAGACACCTCTTACCTAAAGCACATTAGGCGTAGGAGGTAGATCTTAAGGTCTAAGTTGTGCCTCAAAAAAGCTTACCAGCGCTTATTCTGCCGAGAGCAGGGCTAGATTTTAATTTTTCAGCAAAAATTTACTGGATCTGTAAGGGGGTAGACTGAGGTATGGGGGAGGAACTAAGCTACTATAGCATGAGATCAATTCTTAGTTTAAAAATGTATCGATTAAAGGTATTTGGAGAGGGAGTTACAAGTTTTTGTTTCCATAATATAATTGCAGATTTTGAGCGAAGAAGTAAATTTTGAAAAGTTGGTAAATTTTTTTGTGCAGTGTCTGTTACGCTTTAAGGAGCAGTCTGCGGTTTTTTGTAGGTAGCTGAAATTGTATCTGCTGTTAGTGGTTCGGCATTCGTAAGCAAGGCTTAAGTACGGCGGCTCGCGAATAGAAGTTCGAGACTAGGCAACGTGGCCGGCGATCGGAGCGCGAGGCCGTCGAAGTGCAACGTTGTCGCCAGGCCGAACGGAGACCGGCTCGCGCATGCGCCCTCTCTCGCCGATCATATGCAATGTGGTTAGTTGCGATCAGGGGGGTGACAGTGAAATAGGAAAATTGGAAACAGTCATTAGTGTCATTCCTGTCATTCTCCTCACGACAAGTATGGCCGCCTAGACAAGGACAGCATTGTTTTTGTCTAACTATTGTCTAACTTCACAGTTTAGAATTGACAGATCTCAGTTTCAGAGACAACTTCAGATTTGTTCTAGAACAAATTCGAAAATATTCGACGCCATTTTAATTCATTCCGTTTAGTTTCGTTTTGGAAGTTCAATTTAATATTTCGGCTGAAATTTATAAATATAATGGTAATAAAGTATATATAATATATATTACATAAGAATCCTGGAGAAAATGACGTTTCTGCAGTAGTAGGTATGTCCCATGTATATCAAAAATAGGTAGTAAATAAACACTGTTTTTACATTTTTTAGATGCAAGAAAATGGTGTTATAATCTCTTTGATCGGCGATTTTTTTGAAAATGGAAACAATTTACAGCAAGGTAAGATCATTTTTAACTATAGCCAACATTAGTTATCTCCAGTATGTGCGATTTATTGTCAATAAAGCAATAAATCGGACTGATAATCTGATTATGTTATCCGACTAAAAGTCTCTTTTTGCATCTTTTTGATTTATAAGCCAGGTTCTTTGGGAATAATGGACGCTTTTTTTAAACAGTTTATTTATATTTTATACCTATTGATATTTTTACATTGTTAATTTTTGTATAAAAAAATTGTTTTTCTGTTTTCAGGTTTTTGTATAAGGCTCCCGTTTTCATGTTCCTGTGTCCGTTTTCTGTCCTTGAAGTTTGCGAATGCGTGTGTTTATTTACAAATTACTGTAAGTCATGCTTATACCTTAACTAATTTACGTTAAAAGTACATATAATTAACTAATTGGTATTGAAACAATACAATCCTCTATATTTTTATATTTATTTAGTCACGTTGTTCCATATTTCAAATAAATATATGTGAATAAATAATTTTTTGGTTTTATTTATGAAAAGAAAAAATACAAAATACAACTAAAAGAGGACCCGCCATTGAATAACCGGAAACGGAAATGAGAATTAAGCCATCATCTCCTTATCATGTCAACCTGTCAATTGGAAAATTAGTTCTCCAGACGACAACGAAGGCTTTCGGTGGCGTATCGTGTTTCCACGATTTAACACAGAGTTGACACTTCTTTCTAGTTAATTATTTTATGGTTGCGATGGCTGGCAATAGATCCAGTCAGTCAGTTCTCGATCTTTCTGCAGGGACGTTGAAGCGCGTTCGTGTCTGGTGGCTCGCGACTGTCCCCAGTCTGCCTTCGAAGGGAGGCATTTAGATGAAGAGCGGAGAGAGAGAACCGAAAGAGCCAGCGATGACAAGATGAGCCTGAAGCCGACCGAGGTCCAGCAAGAATCTGGAAGCGTAGACAAAATGTATCGCCGCATGACAGTGGCAGCGGACTTAAAAAACTCTTCGCTGAGGCCTCTGGTTAATATCGATGCCGACAACTACATGCTTCGCGTAATTGGAAGACCGGTGTCCCTGCAAATAGACCTGGAGGCCACTCTGGAAGAGGGAGCAGCCGAACCGGCAGCCGCTTCCTCCTCGGAGTTGAACCAGCTCGAAGGGGCTACTGCTCTCGTCGAAGAACCTCCTAATTCCTCCAGCAATACTGATTTCTTTTGGGGGCTCAATTTGGAACCGTCGCCTATTTTGACAACGTCCAAAATAGTTGGTTGCGCTCGCGTTTTTTCCTTCCACCACATTCTTTGCTCCTGCGAGTTGTCCTGTTGCTGTAATTGCGGCACTTCTTGTTCCACAGATTGCCATGCCTGCTTCCACAACTACTGCGCCCGCTTCTTCAACAGCTACGTTTGCCAGAGAGATCCAGAAGCCCTACCATCGGTCACACTCAGCTACGACAAAGTAAGTTCGCCTTTGCATGCTTCTTTTTGCTCTTTATTACCATACCGATAACGAATTTTTTCCATCTGAAAAAAACCTGTTTTTCCACATGTTTCACCCCTTTTTGGAGCTTACCGGTATTTTTAATTTGCCGGTAGACTCCAAAATATCTTGAACCGCTCGCTTTTTCAGAAATCTCGCCTTTATAACGTACAGGCAATTCAATAAAGTTTATTTCTTCAACCAGGTTTAAATTATTGAACATTCCTTGGTAGAAAGAAGATAACCGTTTTCGATCCTTCTTCATACATTAATGCAGCTTTTAGATGATTCCCCAATTCCAATTAGCTATTATCTACCTACATAGAACATTAAAAATGTCTAAATTACAATGCTTTTCAGATAAAATGTTAACACTAGACTAGTATGATAGGTATATAACAGCCCTTTGTTCTGAACTACCTAGCTTTTATGCATGAAGGATATTCTTAATTCCTCGTTTTATACATCTTCTGAATTCAAGTTCGGAAAAAAAAACGTTTTCTGAAATATTTTATCTATAGATAATAAATCACAGCTAACAGAAGGATTAAATATTCTACATCAGTAAAGCTTATAGAACCTGTTTTTGGCTACTTGTCTTTACCATCCTCCAGTTCTTCGATTTTTTTTAGTACTGGTGGATATAGCGTTTCTCTGCTGCTAGTCTACGTACTATTTTAACAGAAATATTGCTATAAATCGTTTAATACATATGAAAATTTAGTCCTTTACTCAAAATATAGGTACTCTCTTTGTTTTAATTTTCAAACCTTTCACGAAAATTTGTTGCTGGACAGATTTATGAAATTCAAATTTATGTTAATAACGATCCCCTTGTTAAGAAGGGTTAAAAATGATGTTATTCTATTAGAAACAGGTTGTTGAATAGAAGACAAATTATTCATATTGTAGAAGATAGGTAAGGGAAATACATTTATTGGTGTAAAACTTCAATTGAATTGGCCCAATTTTTTTTTGCTTTATTTATTGTACAGAATCTGTTTAAAAATGTATATCATGCGGATACTATTATATTTGACCGCTGATTTGAATTATGTGTCTTTTTTTATGTATAATATAGGTATATGTTTTCTATCTTCACCTACTTTATATTAAATGGAGAACTTAATATTCTCTTTATTCCTTGAAATTTAAGTGAAATATTTGATGATAAAAACAAAGACTATGATCATTTTCTTTTGCCCCCTCTAAATATAGAATTTACCTACAATTTTTTCCCATTAAAGGACCTTAATAGAAGCCTCATAAAATATACGAAGAGTTTATTCTTGTAAAACTAATATACAAGAAGTTTCATTGCTGTTTTAGTACTTAAAATTCATATAATATTCTTCCCCTTTTAGAGTCAAACTTTCCTTTTGTCTTTACCTCTCTGGAAGAGGAATCTCAATGTAATACTCATTCAAAATTCAAAGAATAATATTATGCTGGACGTTCATTCAGTTTAGAAGTTTTCAAATAATTAACAATTTAACATTAAAATGATGCACAAAAAATATATACAAGAATTTTTTAGATCTTTTATTGAATAAAAGAAGAAAATGTAGGAAGCTTCATATATTTCCAAGAGATATTATTTTCTTGTGAGCCAGTTCCAAAAAAGATAGGTTTTTACGTTGCTTTATAAGGCATTTCCTTCATAATTAAGTTTTTCGTTTACGTTATTATTAATAATTAATGTTAATTAAGATTTATTTTCCCAGTGGCATATATAGCAAATATTTTATTATTTTAATTGGCATCTAGTTACGATTGAATGGAATAACGATGTTACTGTAATTAGAAAAAGTTACATTGGCAACGTTAAAAGTTGTTATATTTTTTTCCAAAAGTTTTCTTGTTAAGCACGCTTAATTTTTTTTAATATCAAAGAGAGGAACATTTTGATTTATGTACTTGCATATATATATATTCATAAATAGATAGGTCTTTTGTGTGTTTATGAAGCATTTCCTTTGTAATTTGTTTTTATTCGGGTCATTATTATTAGTAACTTACAATTAATCAGGACCATTAAAGCCACTGGGGTTCTGTGTGTATTAAAGGGCGATATCACACTTAAAACAATACAAATTTAAGCCGTATTCTTTTTTAAAACACGTAATAAAAAAATAATCTCCTGTTTTTTTTTCTCCCTCTTTGATAAAAACCGGTATACAATAAAAACGGTTCGAAAAAATCATTCTCTTTAAATAACCTTGTGAAAAAAATATTTGGCTACATTTCTTTTTATTAGAATTTTATTTTTAAAAGACCCCAGTTCCAAAAAAAATTACAAAAAAAGGATGGTATCCAGGAGACTTGGAAAAAATATTTGGAATTTTTTTTGCCTTTTTTATTCAGATAATTTTCTCATAAAATTCGGAATTTATTTTGGGCCAATAAGCCCAACATTTTTTTTTATTATGGGTGCAATTTTATTTGAAAATATTGGACGAAAACAGTATATATTAAAGTTGATATAAGCCTTAATATTAAATAAATTTTTTTTGACCAGCCTTACCGAATGAATTTCAAGTAAAATGTCAAAAAATAAAATAAATGAGATAGGAATATAACCTAGTTAAGGCTTTGGAAAAAAAGGCTGACGTTTAACTCAAATTGATGGATTTGATATACAAACAGATTGGCTAGGCTATTGATTGATTAGAAGTATATCATTGATAAGGTTATTTAATTGTGTTAATGTACCGCAAATGAATAAAAATTATGTAGGTTATAAAATTTAATTAAAAAAATTATAAATATTGTATGGATTATTGAGAATCCCTCAAGTTTGCTTTATAATTTTTTTTTGAGCATATATTTATCAATTTTTAATATCAAAATTGATGTTAATTACTGGTAAACGTCTAAAATAGATGAGTATCAAGCATAGTTCTTTAAATTTTGAATGAAAGTGCATTGACATTTTTGTTCCAGAGAAGTAGAAACAAAAGAAGAGTTTGAAGCTAAAAAAGGAAGAAAGTTTTATATATTGTGTTCTAGTGAACCGATTTTGATGATTTTTTAAGCAATTTCTAGCTAAGTTATTTGACTTGTTAGTATCTCTTTCTAAATTAAAAATGGAAGTTGCTATCTGTCAATTATACGAGGGAAAACAAAATGTTGATATTTTGGTGAAAGTTCCAAACACCCTGTGGAGTACGTTAACATAGCAAGGGATTTAAGAATTATTTTATCATCTAGGTGCATTTTTTCTCGATAGCTTGTTTTTTGACTCACATCGATCGTTTTTTTTTGGGAGATATTCGCTTTTGGAGAAGACACTAACATTTTTCGTGTTTTTTAAATTAAAACCATGCCTTTGCTTTTGGTCCTAGTCAACAGACGTATAAAATAGTGTTAAAATGTGTTTTTGAAAATCATATTATTATTGTCTGCTCCACTGTTAACTAGCAGATAAGTTTTAAGTCCAAAAGTAGATCTCTACCATGATGAACTAAGGCAGCAATAGCCGATGTTTCAGAATTTAAAACCATCTCTACTAGAGTAAACGTCAATAAACAATAATAATATGACTTTTCAATGACAGTGACATTACAAAAACAATAAACACTATTTTAGAAGTGTGCTTGCTGATGGGGACCCAAAATCAATGTTAAATTTGCTGTAACTCGTTACTGTCTTATTCAAAAACGAACATCTCCAATAAAAATAAAGCTATTGAGATGAATAAAAAAACAATCTATCGAGAAAGGATGTACCGAGTTGATAAAATAATTTTTAAATTCCTTGCTTTGTCAATTTATTCCACAGGGTGTTTCAAACGTTCAACAAAATACCAACATTTTGTTTTCCCTCGTATAATTGACAGACGGAAACGTTAATTTTTAATCTAGAAAGAAACACTAAAAAGTCAAATAATTTAGTTAATTACTGCTTAAAAAAGTATCAAAATCGGCCATCTAGAATAAAATATATTAATCTTTAAAATAGATCAAAATTTTAAGGTGCCCGTTTTTCGAGTGTATGTTAGTTTTACAAGAATATTTTGTCTAGTTTACGTGTGAGACTTTTACTCATTTTCTAGGATATTTCTCACTTGATAACGATCACTTATACATCTGACGGAAACGTGTAAGATTTTCTTATATCCAGTTTTTTTTATGAAGAAAATGATGAGCTCTTTCAAAAAATTGATGTACCAATAAATGGAATCGAATCAAGATGACTTAGGCGTGCTTTTCCTTTTATTTGATATTTTTTTCAAAAGAAAATTGTTTTTTTGTATATTTTATTGGATGTCGTCCCATACCACAGGGTGGAAATACAATAATTCTCCCCTGAAGCGTGAAAATAAGGCGTCCAATCGATATACGTATACTGTACGATGAAAAACTAATTTCAAAAGCCAGTGCGACGCTTTTTTATCATACAATATTTTTAAAAAGTATTAAAGGTTATTTTATTAACAGAAATAATACAATTTTCAACTAGATTAATGAGTTTTTGCTATTTCCTACAATTTTTTTAAGCATCGTATATTTCCAAAGCAATTTGTACTGGAAGAATTCAAGACCTTTTAATGATATTTTTTTATTGGGAACATAAGGTCAAATGAAAACTTTGCCGTAATCATAATTTTTAATTTATTCTGCGTCGTAATAAAAAAAAACTGAGCTCGACTTGGTAGATGATGAAGTGCACAAAATGTTACAAAATTGCCGTGTGCTAAATTCTAGAGCTTATTTTATTGAGATGGGTCTATAATATTTGTGAAATTCATACATCACCTGTCTGTAGTTTTTGTAGTACCTGATTAATTTTTTTGAACGTACCAGGAATTGTAATGTAGCATTTTTTATCGTTCAATTATATTTGAAACCCACTCTGCTAGGCTAGATCAAATAGACAAGTTAGAAATAGTAATTTTAAAGCAATTCAGGCCACCAATTGCTTAAACGAACTAATAAAATACCATTGCGGTTCGAGATTTGATTAATAATTATTTACCG